CGCTGTCTGAGGTAGGCTCTACCTATCACTTGATTTTATGGAAACTAGAAGGTGTTTAAACAAATTTCATTTAGAATATACCATTGTATGAACATAGAATAATGAAAAATGACATTTGACCTTATAATGTTGTATTTTTATTTTTAGGAAGAATTGCTACTTGATTGCATTGCTTTGATTTCCGATAGATTTACACATTTATCGTGAGTAGAATTAAATGGAAAAATATAGTTTTAGCCTATATCATGAAGATTAATCTTAAGATCTACGATCTTAGGATAAAAGTTAGAGACTGTGCAGCTGACAAAAGTGACGTACAACTTGTAAACAAAGGCTAGTTTCTATCGGTATATTCTCTATGCACACAGGTTAAATGAAATCGATCGCCAAAAATGTATGAAGTACTAGTTTACGTAGTAAATAAAACAATTATTTCACTTGCTTTAATATTTTGTTCATTTTTTATGCATGAAAACTATTGAAAAGCAAGTCATTTTATATTTTTAAGTAATGGTAGATATTATTGCGCCGTGTGATTCGGCCATCTATTGACTTCTGACCTCTGACAAACTTCATACAGAATTGAAGATAATTTCTCTCTGTATGTTTATATAATGGAAAGATACCACAAATGTATATATTTCGCATTAGCTGTCGTGTGAACGCAATTTAATTCGCATTAGTTTACTTCGCATTAATTTGCTGCGAATCAAACTCTCCATGTGAACAGGGCATAAGAGTAAGAAGGGTTAATTCCTTTTTCTGACAATTATTTCTAAAATTACAGCCGATACTTTATAAATATTACGAATTCTAGATACTAGTATCATACACTATACATTATTGCGTGAGTAAGTTACCTCTTTTCTCAAATATGCAATAAGAACAAAATTACTCGAGGGCCTGTCTGAAAGGAATACTTTCTGACAAATATCATTTACAAGCGTTTAATTTAACGTCATTTTATAACCAGAATATGATAAACATTAAAATGAACAATTTGAATGAAAAGAAGTCAAATGTATTTTGATAACAGACATATTTGAAAATTCAAACAACAGAAAATGGATTATGAAGAATGTCAAAATTAGAAAGTTTCTTGCACCTCTTGATAAGTAAAAGAAATCTGTTTATGGTGGACCTTTTCCGATGCATCTGCATTAAGAGTGTTAATACAGATTATTAAGGAAATCACCAAGTCTTGTTTCAATTTGTTTTGTTGTTTCATGTCTCTCTCGACGATTTTTCACTCCTATGGAGACGCCACCACCTGTCAATGGTGAGATGCAAATTTTGACATATACTCGGCCCCAGGGCTATTGAGCAAGAAGGTATCTTTTTCGTGGGATTCAAAGCTTCGAAGTAAGGACCAACTCCTTACTTCACGATTCTAGAGCTGACTCTGGTCTCTAGAGAGAATGAATTGTTCTTCGATAACTCGGGACAAGTTCTATGGGACTGAAAGCATTCCACTTTTCAAAGCATTTATCGAAGATACCGACCCTTTGCTTCATGCATGTGTACCTATTTATATACATGTATGTACAAAAAGAATCATAAAAGATAGGTAACAGAATTCATGGCTCACTAACAACTTTTACAGTTTTTAATTTTGAAATGGTGCGGAGAACTTCAGGGGAATGCGTTTCAAATAACGTCGTCAGAGTTTTGAGATTATCCCTCTTCCCCTTTCTGAGTGGTGGTACAAAGCTGTCAGAGAAATTGATGTCCGTGTACGTATTCCTGTCTTTGGATTCAATTGTCGTGTAAGTATCAGATCGGCAGGAGGAGGACAGCGACATGGATTCTCTGACGTTAGAGTAAATGTCGTCTGTTGATCTTCTAGACATCTTTTCTGGCATGTTGTTGTTGTATAGGTGTTGATTTGACTTTCTAGACTGCTCCAGTATATTGTATGTACGTTTTCTTTCAATGCCACTTTGTCTGCGACGTATTTTTTGTCTATGTTATAATAAATAAACTTCGTTACCTCTTGATCATCACCTCAAGATTTTATTTATAATACACGTATAATATGTTATTAATTCTGTTATAATTTTCTTTTTAAAAAAGTCGGTATGGTCAGTTAGGTGAAATTGTCAGTTTTATATTGAAATAAAGGTTTCAATCGTTACACAATTTTGTTTATAATTTTTTTTTTTACTTTAAATAGATAATGAAAAGATATAGTAATGCATAAACAATTAATTGAATACTTTTTCTTCCAAGCGCGGTAGAAAAACAATGTGAAGACAAAATTAGCAATCACCAGCACGGATACACAAAGCGTTGTAATCATTCCAATACCTATAAGAAAGTAAATAAAGTGATACTTATTTTTGCAGGGTCAAATTTTGGAGGTTTTGGAGAGAAGTTATGGTTCGTGGGGATTTGATTTGTGGAGGTTTTAAAAGATATCGAATATAACTTCGTGGAGGATATATTTGCTAGGTGACTTACCAAATGTAGATGATGATGCAAATTCGACAGTGCCAACATCAAGATGGTTATATCTTCTTTTGACATCACTCGTGTAAAACAGGTTCTCTGCAGAAGCATGGTTTGAAAAAAAATAAATTTCTTGATTATAGTAGTATGATTATTGGCAATTTGCCATACGAATGACTCTTGACGATCTTCAGTATCAGTGAAATTTTCTTATCTTTTTTAAAATAGATTCTTTGTAATGCTGCAACTTTTAAAATATGTTTATTAATAGAAATTAGTTATTAGTTCCACATATGTTTGTCACAAATAAAAAATACAATAAGGGAGAACACACATACAAATTTTGTCGAGTTGTCTTTGATAGTTTCCATGTCTTATCCATTTTTGAGTATTTCAATGCTGAGATATACGTACCAAATACAGTGACTGTGGGTGGAGTTTTTGTGGAAACTGTTGTATTTGGTTTGGCTTCCGTAGATCTCAAATTTTGCTCTCCTATATGTTGAGACATTCCTTTGAGAACGAAGAAATAAGTACAATTTTATGTAATACCAGTAATTTGAATTCATATTTGTTACAAATTTATGATTTAAAAGTGTACGGGATTCCTAATAATGATATATTTCAAGTTCAGAGAATTTATTTTGTCCAAGGAAGCTTGATATCAGATTTCAAAAGATATACAGTATGCATATAAACAATAATCGAAGTACATATATCTTATGTATAATTATGTTAAACACACATAACGTCCATACATAGCGACATATAATACAATTTCAATATGAATATTAATTGCCATACCACAGTTATGTATTTCACACGGTTTTCTATCGAAGAGTTTTGCGTCTGTGCAGCTTGTCAAGCAGTTCCTTGCTCTATATAAATCATCCTCATAACAGCAGCTCCATGATGACCAAGGCGAGTATTTTAATGCATCATCTTTCTCAGCATGCAATCCTAAAAGACGATAAAAATATTGATTGCTCTTTAACCAAATAATTTGACAATTTGTCTAGTGTATATGTATGTTTCAAAAGCTGTTTTCAATTATAACGATTTGTAAATTACAATCTACCGTATAAGTAGAATTTTTAGCGAGGATTTAATTTTGGCATTATTAGCGAGGGTGCCAAGTTCGCTAAAATTAAATATCGCTAAAAATTAATTGCGCTTTAATTTTAATAGCTTCTTTAGAGAGTTTTCTAAAATCGCTAAAATTACATCTCATCTCGCTAAAAATAAAATACCAATTTTTAAGAACAAATCGCTATATTTGCGTCTCGCTAAAATTTCCACTTATACGGGGTATTTCTTTTACCAAAATTTACGAGTTGTTAAGTGTATGTTTTGAAAACCGTTTGTACTTGTAATGGTGCCAGAATAAAACTGGAAACAATAATGCTAAATTGTGACCATGATACTTACCATTCCAAAGCAACATCATTAAAAACATAGAACGCAAGGTATGGATCTCCGTGAGAGAGAAGTCATTAACGGTACATGTCCAAAAGACCAGCATGATACATTCTAGTGAATCATCTCGTCATTTAAATAAATACCCGGTTCCAGGAACTACGTACCATTAGTTTAAGTAGGAAATATATTATTTATACATAAAAATTTTATTTTTCAATACAAGGAAAATATTTTGATTTTATCGTGGATTGGATATACAAATCACTTAAATCATATTGACTGTTATTTACCACACTTTGATGTGCTCGGCACTTAAAGTGAAAGTTGTAGGTCCTTCGGATAAGATCTTAAAACCGAGGTCTCGTGGCACGGCAGGTATTGAGGTTCTGAGTGCCAAGTAAAGGCTCAAAATGACCATGAAAGTTCGAATTTTATGAGCAGTAAAACATTTCAATTTTAACATTTAAAGACAAAATGATAAGTTAAATATATGCAGATAACGGATAGTGTTCAAGCTCAAAAATCCGTTATCAATACAAAATGTAGGAGCTGAGCAAACATCCAAAAGGTGGGATCGGGTGTCATGGAGAAGTGAGCATCCCCTGCCGACCGGTATCACCCGTCATGTGCTCCTTGTCATGGTCGGAAAATAACGGAAAATCATCAGAGTGTAAGTAATGGACTAACAATTGGTATGAAAAACGTCAGTCAGTATTTGACTCAATGATAAATTGTATTTGCTGACAAGGTCATCGTATCGACTATGGAACTTACGAAATGATGATTTTAAACGAGACTACTGATATCTGATATCCTTGTTTCATCAACATTTTTTTCAATAATTTACCTTGTGTAAAAATTTGTACATACGTAGAGCATGTTCTTGAGTATCGAATCAACTGAGAGACATAAATTCAGTATGCCGGTGATGAAGGTATACTGCAGCGTAAGTAAGGGAAGTTGACGATTGAAAAGTAGTTAAAGTCATCACGTTTACCGTAGAGCTTGGTTGTTAGAATACCATTAACGTCCTTTTCAAATAAAATATCCAAGTATGAAACAGATGTGTCAGATTCTGTGGTATCTTTTATCTCAAGCTCAGCGGTATATATTTAATCGACATAAGAATGGAAATAACCACACTGACACTTCTAAAAAAAAGTTTTAAACATGTATTTTAAGCTTAAAAAGGACCATCGGACTAGTTAAGAATTTGATTACTAGTATGTTGAAAAATTCAACGACTATTAGGAACTTAATAAGGAAAGAAAACATCATGTAATTAGTTAATATTTAAACGGTAGGACAAAAGACCCGTGAATTCCATTTTAACTCATTTCTTAATGAATCCATGTATTTGTCATATTTTGTAAAAAAAAAAAAAAAAAAAAAAAAAAAAAAAAGATCAGAGACATCCTATATATTGGTCACTTGGAAGTTTACATTTTAGAAGGGCCTTCTGCCGTCTAAATGCAAAATACACGTCTGTTATTAAATGCAGTATAACTTGTGATTCATACATGTAAATAGTAGAGAGCTGATATTTGGAAACGTATATAAAAAGTCTGCATTCCGAGTTCCATTTGAATCAATTTGTTGATTTTTTGAAAAAATTGAATCATACATTTTCTCTTAATAAAACTTAAAGTGTAGCATATTTACATGTGGATATTTTACTCAAATTCACCAGTATTTATATATAACTTATTGAATTTACATGTAAATAACAAAGGGGTTGTCTTTATAAATCGCATCACACAAAATTGCAATGGATCGATTGATAATTTTGAAATGAGGCTCATTCACAAAGCGAATGTCTGATTTCACAATCTTCTTACAGGGGTCTGATAGGCCATATTTCAAACTATATGGGCAAAAAATGTGAGTTGAATTTCTTTCATAATATATGGAGAGAGATTTTGTATCCTAGAACAAAATGTAAAGTTTCAGAAAATTTGAATTTAGGGGAAAATTTGGTCTATATATTGTGTACTACCTTAATTGTAGCTTGAAAGAGATCTGTAAATGTTAACGTCAAGACAAATTCATAAGAGCATAGGCGACAAATATGAATGTTCCTCTTGGTAGTTCGTAAAGGACTTACGACAGATAACATATTTCGTTTTAGATTACGTGTACTGTTTTAAAAGTTTCTTGAAAAGCATGGCGTTTTTCCTAGAAAATATTTTTCTGTTAACAAATCTGATTTTTTAAAATCGTAGTCCCTCTTGTGAAATATAAGGTTTATATAGAAAATCTCTTGTCCAGCACTTGAAAAACAGATAAATATCACAAGGAAGCCATAGATTTCCTCGTTTCCAAGTGATTATTGAGTAAAATTGATACTTACTCAACCATACAGTATAAAGACTATTAGGTTGGCATTAAGCTATCATATGCTTTAAAATATAAGAAGGTGTGCCTGTATCCTCGACCCTAGCAAGATAATGTAGATTACAAGTCTTAAAAATATACTTGAAAAATTCAGAAATGGATAAATCTATTCCATTTTATAAAAGAACCATGCATAAAAATCCCAAAACAATATTCCAAGAAACAGTTTATCACTCAACAAATGTTTTTATTCACTATATTTAGGATATGCATAGTCAAATAAAGTACTAGTATTACAATGACCATCGAAACTCATCGAACACCCGTTTCAATGGCTTTCAGTCTTGAAACTGTGCGATTAACATCATTCGAGTGCAATGAAAATAGTGTTGTCAGAGTTTTCAATCTGTCCCTTTTAACTGCTCTGAGCGGTGGCCCACTTTCTTTAGAAATTTCTGGTTCCTTTGCTTTCGTTACAGATTGGATTGTTGCGTATCTTCCAGACTGTAAGCTTATACTTGAATCCCGGACGTCGGAGTAAACATGTCCGGGCATGCGCTCAAGTGCACTGTATGAATTATTGGTGTTCATTTCAATCGCGCTTTGTCTTCGACGCACTTCCTGTCTGTATAGAAAGAAATAGTTGTTTTAATTTTGGCTTTCCCTAAATGCTCATACATGTATGTACTAGACAAAACCAAATAAACATTGGTTTTGATTATAAATACCCAACTCCATATAAATACCCGCACATAAGTGTTTGCATCTAAATTTCAGCTCCCCTCTACTTGAGCAATGAAATGCCATGATAATTATTATATAATCTATTAAACTATACTCATGCACAATCAACTGAGCAAAAGTACACAGGTGTGCATCTGACCAATAGATCTTTTGCCTTATTATATCAATACTAATTCAATACCTCTACGAAACTTAAAAGGACTCTTTGAGAAAGATTTTTCGAGAGTGTTTATTTACACTAATATTTAAAACAATTTGTAAAACACTTTTGACCCCATCCCTCAAATAATTTGAATTCTTCTAACTCCAAAGGGCATAACGCTGGACCGAAAGACAAACCGACCGACAGATAGCAGCAAAGCAATATGCCCCCCCCCCCTTCTTCGAAGGAGGACACAAAAAACTAATTTGGAAGTTTATGAATCTGTTCATGTTTTGTAAAATGGTAAATGATACTCTAAGTGCATGGTAACTTTGTTGAAATGTTAATCTATGGATGCAAAAGCATCTACTCAAATAAAAAAATCTCAGAATATGCATATGTAATTGGGTTCTCTTGCATTATTGCATTTTTTTGGACGGGAATAATTTAGTTGTATGTGAGTTTTACTTTAAATTCAGCTCCACTCCCACCCCTTTAAAATTTAAATTATAACAATCTTTATGTGGTTTATATTTTTCCTCTTCCCCCATATTTGGGGGATGAACAGTGACTCGAGTCGGCTTTCCAAGCAAAGTCAAGGTAAAAATAGCTGTTTAAAATCCTTTTCCTTTTCCTTGCTCAGTTTGGCTCAATCTCATGAATAGAGCGTATCATTGAGTATAAAAGAGATTTTGAACAATTTCTAGTTGAATGGTTAAGGTCAGAAAACGAACGTTTTTATAAGAAACTTTTTTGTCTCCCATTGACCTTGAAAGTACCCATGGGTAGAGAGTGTTCAGGGACAGATTTTTTTTTTTCAAAATACCTTTTTGAGTAAAGTCTTTGGACAAAGCAAACTTTGTCTCCTTATGGCTCAGTGTGGCTCATATTTCATTCTGGAGAAGGGTCTGACCAGAGTTTGAACTAATTTTTAAGGATAAAAGGTCAAAGACAAAACATTTTTTTTGTTTTAAAACACTTTTTAAGGATATTATCTCCCCTTGACCTTACACAAATCAAACCTATTGTCTGACACTTGAAAACCAGTGATCAGTGATCGCCGTAGGCTGTGTGTTCCATATGCAGACTGGGCGCGGCTTGAAAGTTTCCCGTGACGGAGTGAAATTATTTATTTTGGTATGGAATACAAATAGGTGATATTACCTATTCGAATTTGTGATATCACTAAATCAAACTGAATAGGGTGATATCGCCTATTCGAATAGGTGATATCACTTATTCGAATAAGTGATACATGTATTACCGATTAAATACGAAGAGGTGATATCAACTTTTCATTTCCAATGGATGATATAACCAAAAATGACCTCAAACGTATCCTGTGGGAAAGAAATTTTATTTTGTTCAAATGAAGGGCAAATTCCTCCTTTATGGAGAAAAAAAGATAAATGAAAAGAAATCCTTTGAATGACGTCTATTTCAGTGTTTTACATTTTGGCATGTGTGTTTTGCGAAAAGTTGGTAGGTATGAGGGGTGATCAAAAAGTTCGCGACCTAATTCTATTTTTACAAAACCACAGTTCAGATGAAATGTTTTGAGCCCCATGTTTGTGACGTCACAATATGAAAATGACGTCAATATGTAGATCACTTGTGAAAAAAAAAGGGTCGTAATTCGAGCTACACGAACGTCTGCAAAGTTAAACGATAATAAAACAATAAATGAAAAATATAAAAACTATAATCTAGAAAATTCAGAGTAGAAATGATCGAAAGCAAAACATACGCACAATATATTGTCAGTCCGTGCAGTTATCGTAAGCAGACTTTAACAACTGAACGCACCCGTTGAATCGTAAACATCAACAATAATAGAGCTCATGTCCTGTTTACAAAAACTGTGTACGTTTCACTGGTGTGATCAATTTGCTAAACTCTGTACACAACACTTAGCGCGGAATGACGATATATTTTCATTTATATACAACAAGATTGCCACTTTTTCTAAGTATTAAGAATAAAAGCAAAATTTGTGAGAGTGCAAGGATATGTTAATCAAACCCATCCAAAAATTTGAAGTTTCAATAACTTTAAGATGGAAAAAAATTTCAATATATTTTTGTGTGAAATGTTATTAAAATATATAAGTCTTGATATGATACAGAAAATATCAACTTCAAATCTGTGTTTATAATGAGATTCTAGTAATGAAAAAAATCCTTTGAATTCGTCTTTCTCATTCTTCTTACTTTTTAGCCTGTGTGCGTTTTGCGAAAAGTTGGTAAGTTTTTGAAAGATGGGTTAACTTTAAAAAGATATAAAAAAAAATACTTGGAATGGCTTTTTTTTCGAAAGCTTCAAAACCTAGTGTAGTTTCAAGATTTCGAAATATTGCTCTTCCTACAGTTTTAATGAGTTTCTAATAAGACAGCAAAAATAGACTATACTAGGATATAAGATTCTTTTTATCTGTTTTTTTAATTTCCTAAAACTGTGTTACCATGATAGCGAAAAATAGACACAATCAACACTCGTTATCTTGAACTACTTGAAACCAATTTAAAAAAAAATCGAGATTTCCGATGATTTGATATTACCTTAAAATTATATATAGGTTTTTCAGATTGTTTTTGGAAAAAAAAATCATTTTTTGACTATTAATTAACCCCATGGATGAATCTGTGTAACCACATACACACACCACTTATCCTCTCCCAAAAGATAATTAAGCTGCTGTATAAAATGTTAGCGGAGTTCTGGGAACCATGACAGGGTTTTCTGTTTAAAAAAAAGTGAGAGAAAATTTCTCGACCCAAATCTAACATCCCCTGGAGAAAATAATTCAGAAACCTTATTGCTTATGCCCTGGACACACCCAATCAACTTCCAAAAAATATAAGGCTACTGCATAAAATGTAAGAGGAGATGGGAACCAAGCCTTAGTAAAAAAAATATCATTATTGACCGTTAGGGTTAACATAGATTTCCAAAATCTGAAATATTAGGCTTATTGTACTTCCCAGAAAACCGCCAATCATCTTTCAGATTTTTATAGATTTTTCGAAAATAATCATATGTTTGATCATCCATTGTGGCCCCGCCCTGTCCCCGGGGGTCATGGTTTGAACAAACTTGAATCTACTCTACCTGAGGATGCTTCCATATAAATATGACCAATCATGGCTTTGCTGTTCTCAAGAGAAGATTTTTAAAGATTTTCCTATATATTCCTATGTAAAATTTTGATCGTCCATTGTGGCCCCGCCCTTCCCCCAGGGTCATGATTTGAACAAACTTGAATCTACACTACCCGAGGATGCTTCCATATAAATATGACCAATCATGGCTTTGCTGTTCTCAAGAAGAAGATTTTTAAAGATTTTTCCTAATATATTCCTATGTAAAACTTTGATCGTCCATTGTCCCTGTCCTACTCCCTGGGGTCATGATATGAACAAACTTGAATGTACACTACCTGAGAATGCTTCCAGATAAGTTTCATCTTTCCTGGCCCAGTGGTTCTTGAGAAGAAGATTTTTGAAAGATGCCATTAATTTTTTTTAGTAATTTTCAATTATTTCCCCTCGGAATGGGGCGTGGCCCTTCATTTGAACAAACTTGAATCCCCTTTACCCAAGGATACTTTGTGGCAAGTTTGATTGAAATTGGTCCAGCGGTTCTTGAGAAGAAGTCGAAATTGTGAAAAGTTTACAGACAGACGGACGCCAGACAAAATCTGATCAGAAAAGCTCACTTGAGCCTTCGACTCAGGTGAGCTAAAAAATCAGAAGAAAACTTATTGCACATCTAGAAGATATTTTGTTACTTTAATCTATTTTATTTTTTTTTCTAATATTATTTGACCTTTTTATTATCTGTATGGGTTGCAGCGAAACGTATTGAAGCAATAAAAAAGTAGTCAAAGATTCAATAAAACACCAATCAAAACTGAAAATAATTACTGAGTATCAACAATAAAGAAATTATGCTTAAAAATATCGACATTACGGCTCTAGAAAATCAAGACATGCACTTTCAAAACCTGAAGATCAGCTCATTTATTCTATTAGCTTTTTAGTATACTTGAGTTTTTGATGTTCATGCAGAATTAAGAACTTCTAAATGTCAAGACATGTAACATACTGAAGCATGCAGATTAGTTTTTTATCTTTCATTTTAAGTGCAAAAATTGGAAAGAAAACTTTAAATACTGGGTCTATAGTGTTTATGTGAATCAAATTATATTCATAATCGTTAATTATTGTGTTCAAATAATAAAGTTTTTCAACACTTGGTTATTTTCAAGTTATGTGAAATATTTACCTTTTCTTCCATGCGCGGTAGAAGAAGAAAGTAAAGATAAGGTTAACCATTACAAGTACAGTCAGACATATAGTTGTTATCAACCCGGCACCTGAAAAAAGTTACAGATATGTGTTATTATATTACATAACAGGAACATTTATACAGAATTGTTGTTTATTTTATAAAAATAAATATACATCCTTATTTTTTAGAATTTTTATTAGTTATGGTAAGAATAGAAATGATCAACTCCATGCAAAATTGAATTGAAAAAATGAAAAAAAAAATCATTACAAGGCTTTAAAGCTCAGTTTCTTGATTTTATAAATTTAGAATACATAAGTAAAATACTTACCAAATTCAGTGGGTACAATAAGGTCTTTGCTACCCATATCACGTTCATTATTTTGTTTAGTTTTATCCTCCGTCTCATTAGACATGTTCACAGCTGTAGTTAAATAAATCTAAACTAAACCCGCTCTGTTCATACTTCCTCTTGTACTTTCATTTCTTGTCACGTTTTAATTTTTGCATTCTTTCCTATTAAATATGATCATGTTACTATGCAATTCTCCTTCTTTTACTTAATCTTAATTGGCTACATAAATTCACTGTTTACCATGTCGACCGAATTTATTTGTTACCGTATTTATATAAGGTATACCAAATATTATATTACATCTGTAATATTTATGATTCTCTCCTTTGAATCAACATTTCGATGACATAACTCGATTGAGAGAGTACAATTAAAGAACTAAAAAGAAATCACATCAGGGTTTTCCCAAATGGTCGCCTTAAACATACTAGTATTTCAAGGAATAAAATTAGTCGACATAGCAATTACTGTATATTCCAAGACAGACTTTCAAAGTCGAACCGTGTATTGGCAAAAAAGACATGCACTTTCAAAAACTCAATTAATTAAGAGCAGCATGAATGTTTGCTCGTTCACATCCTCCAGCTAGGACTTTTGTTTTGAAGAAAAATTTAGGCCTTTTGCTGATGACCAATCACAAGATTGAAAAATTTCTGAGCTCCGTTTTTATTGAAGAAACAGTTGTCTCTATGATACCAGAATGTTGAGATTTTATTTAGGAATTGTTGTATGAAGTGTTAAAATTGGGATTTAATGTTATACACATTCAAAATTTTGAGTTTTAACATTCTAAAAGTTCTTTGCAGTTTTTGAGGATGCTTACCTGATTTACACCACTTCTACATTATGACATAGCACAGTACGTCTGAAATTTCACCTTTAGAGCAACTCAGTTCTTGTAAGGAGTAAAAATGGGGGCTTGGTAGAGCATTTTTTGGACCCAGCAATATGTCTTTGTTTGGAAGGATTTTTAGGGAGTTTAGGAATCCAGTTAAGGAAGGGTAGACCGAATTCACATTGGTTGACTGGTATATTAAAAGTATTAGATACAAAAATGCTATTTTAGAGAATTCCTTGGAAAGTGAACTGTGAGTATATGTTAGATTTCCAGATGTAAAAATTTAAACGAGATTTTACCAAAATACAGTTACACTGTATATAGATGCTCCTTTCAAACAAAGACGACATAGTTTCAAGTCTTGTCTACATTGTTCATGTAGTCTTAAGTTTCTAATTTCTCACCCCTTCCGAGAACACGGAAGGATAGATGGTTAGCAAATCGCCTTTTAATTTTCTAGTACAAATCTTTACTTTATCATTATACACACTAAATCAATTATGACGAAGTGTTAAAGTCTTCCTTTCTAATTTTTAGCCCAACATTTGTTCTGATATTTTGCTTTGACAGAATTCATAATGGAAATGTTCTGTCGGCAAATTGAAAGATCGGGTCTTTTACAATATTTTTTAAGTATTCATTTTAAACTAAATTATCCTCACAAGAAAAGACGTGTCTAATGTGAAAGATTCGTCTATTTAGCCTATTAAACCTATTACAAGTACCACGAATTCAAATACAGACAAAACGAGGGATCTAATAGGAGGGACTTAAATGAAATTAAATGGTAGACATCAAATAAGACTTTTGCACCAAAGAAACACGCAAAATATCAAGGTTCTTAATCAGTATGATAAGGAAATGATAGTAGATGATTGAATTTCTGCTTTAAAAATTATATCATTTGTTTAAGATTATGCAATAGGTTTATAAATCACGTATCACACAGTTGTATATTTATTTTTGTTTATAATATTGGTGAAAAGAAGTTAAAAGAAAACATTTTATGTAATTTTTAGTAAAGAACAAAATCTTATGCACTGTATTTTCTCCTAACTTGTCTATGACAATACCTCCTTAGGGCAAATCTTAGAGTTAGACAGTCAAAGAAATCCTGCAAGAGGCTAAGTGGATCATCTATGAAATATATGTAACATGTAAGACGTTAACATTACTAGCTCTTTTTCTTTTAGTTACTTCAACGTGATCAGGGCAGATGTGCTATTTTTAAAAGGTACACATATCCATTTCTGCTTGGTGGACTTACTTTCAAAGTACAAGAAAACGGAAATTATTGCCCATATTGATAAGGAACTTTATTTTATGTATTTTAACGCCCTGATTAAATGATATTTAAAAATACTACAACACGTATCAGAGTATTATAGAAAGTAATTCATGAATTGTCAGACTACTTGTAAACACTTTTAACATTATCAATTGCAAAGCGCATAATTTCATGAGTGTACAAAAGTACTTGAAAAAAGACATTTTCTTTGATACCATTTGCAGAATTTTTATTTAATTATTAGAAAAAATAAAGGAAGCATTTTTTCATGTGCTCATACACCGTTTACTTCTAAAATTTATTTTGCAAATCATATTGATAGTAAAATATTTACCAAATTATAATAGTAAACCCTTGAAAAATTGTCTCCTTATCCCCACTTAATACCATAGAGCACTTGCATTAAAGTTGTGCAATTTGCACAAAAATACCGGACATAAAAGTTTAAATTTTCCGAACGATTCGTCTACCTGAACAATACATAAGGCTCCCATCGGGTATGACGGATCAACAGGGGATGCTTAGTCCTCCTTGGCACCTGATCCCACCTCTGGAGTCTCCAAGTATCTGCAAGTCATGTTCACAGATTTCTATTGTTAAAAGATATTTTATATAGATCACTGTTCGTTAAAATTATCTTCATACTTTTTATTAAAATTCATTGTAAAAGTAAGTATTGATTTTATTACTGTATATGCAGGAAAAACAAACTTCTTGAAATACATTTATCATTGTTATCTCATAATTTGTAGATCTGAACCCCCTTTCCAAACAGAGGTACAGCGACCACAGCCATTAAATGTCTTATGATTGTATTACCATAAAAAATGACAACACCAAGCCAGGAGGTTTGAACTTAACCACTAACACATAACTAATATATATTAAATGATTTGTATTGTAAAAGTATATTTTTAGGTGTTGACCATGTAGTTAATAAAACTCTTTTTGAAAATCATTGAAATTATTTATTTTTGTCAATACTCCAAATGTTGTTGCATGTGTAAAATAAGGACATTTTAAACAACCTAATTCCTGTAGGGAGCATTACTAGCAGACACAAGCTATTTAAAGATATTTGGATTTCTTCCGTCATTATAATCTGCAATGCAATTAATTAGACCAATTTGTTTTAAATATACTGTCAACGTACAATTGATATTTTAGAGATTAACAACGTTAAAGTATTTGTTCCTAAATATTATATTAAATTTGTTATATTTAGGGATGTCAACGAATATTCGAGTACTCGACTATCGTTCGATCATACCGACTATCGACTAAAATTTCTTTAGTCGGCTATTCGTTAAAAATGTGTTTCCTCAAAGTAATTTTGAATTCTGCAGTGTAACATCAAACATGATTATCATATGCCTAATCATGCAGTCAAACATATACACACTGTCACAGTCTTCAAGTGAAACTTTCCTTAAGTAAGCTCTCCGCAAAAAATGACCCAAAAAAAAACAAACAAAACAAACGGATTGGGAAAGAAAATCAAACATGTTTGTTAATGATTGTCTAAGTCTTACTGTTTTAAATGGAGAGGGCAATTGTTTAGTTTTGCAGATTCAAACAAAGATCTGACGTGATACAACTATTCAGAAAAAATATTAATTAAACAACTATTACAAAATTGTAAATACATGTAAATTGGGGTCAGTTTTGAGATTAATTAAACCATGTTTTCTTTTTCTGATATTAATTTCATACAATCATTGATTATTTGCACAAAATTTAACAATCAAAATTTTTCCCAAGCTCTTGCTCTCTCTTTGTTTTTATAAGAGACACACATTAATTGTTTACCTGTCAAAGAAAATTGACGGACACGTAGAAAATGGCTTCAATTACGAGGTACATGTACTACCGTTATGTAAAGAAAGGACAAAATTTTACGAGCGCTTGATATCCTGCATTTAGATAAAATGTGAAGCTGATACATTAATTTTGAAATCCAATACATTGGATACATATTGATGAACAGTTTTTATTGTACTACGTACAAGTTTACAATTTAGAAATTCGTTGTATAATGGTGATAGCGTAGGTTAAATATTGTAAACTAGACTGTAAAAGACAGTGAAAATGATATGAAAAAATAATTAAATCAAACGAATATTCGACTATCGTTCGACTAAAGCATCCGACTATTCGACTAAGCTGTCCGAGTAAAATTGACATCCCTAGTTATATTAAAAAAAGATTTGCAACTCAAATGTCATCATTACTCGTATAAATTATATATAAATTAATACAACTATCAACAAATCAACGATATAAATAAACTTATTTTCATGAAGGACGTTCGGTATGATCTTTTTTTATCCTTTTTTACAAATGAAAAATAATGAAAAAATGTCTTATATACATGATTTTTTTCCAAACAGATTCCTTTATTCGACAAAAACAGCTTTTACACACACAAATGACATTTCTGAAAATTGAAAGGCTAAAGTTCAAACATCTGTTGATTATTCTATATCTTTTCCTCAGTTCTATATATATTCTGGATGAAATCTCCAACTGTTTTGGCAATGGGTGCTTCAAACAAGGACCTTTAACGCATCTCGATCCTGAAAATTGAAATAAAAGAAAAAAAACAACGAAATGTACATTCCTAAAAAACAATGAAACTCTACCTCATAATACTACCAAAATACTAATGTTGTAATTATGAAATCACTACAAAGTTAAATGTGATATGAAATTCAAGTCCTTTTATATCATAAAATAGTTAAACATAGCTTTCCCTATAGCTCAAGTTAATGAAAAATTCACAATAAATAAGTTGTAATCTTAACAACCACTGAAAACCATATTTACACAAAGAATAAATAATTAAGGAATGAAGCTTATTTCAACTTACGTTATACGATATAACATAACTTGGGGCAGTTTACGCTTTATAAACCGCGAAGCGGTTTATAAAAAAGCGTAAACTGTCCCAAGTTATGTTACATCGTATAACATAAGTTGAAATAAGCTTAATTCCTTATAATTTAATTTCAATGTAGACAATGTGACAATCTTTTCATTTTTTCCTTCGGAAAAAGGCTTCAAAAATCGCATATTTTAAAGTTAACGTCAAGCGGAGTAATACGTTTTTGACGTAACTCATTGTGACGTAGGCAAGTTATGTTATACAAAATGGATAAAACCGTTTAACCAATCAAATGCCGTGTTACAGCTGAAATTAAATTACATATATCACTGAACCTTCGTGTAAAAAATTACTTTTCCTAAGGACAAGATAGAAATAATTTAATTTCTAGTTTGCCTTTATCAAGTTGTTAAAAAATAAATCTGAGATTGCTGTTAAACCTCATGACAAGCTACACAAGGAGAGAAACCGTAATCTTTGTAGGTGTAGGTTTTGAAAGAATACAATACGACTTACTTGTTATCAGTGTAGTCACTGTGAGACCAAACATTCCACTCGTACTTTCCATTTATCTTCTCTGGCTCTTTCAATGAAAAATATATATAATTGTAAGTAAAATTTCCAAAATTCTCCGACAAATTTAATAGAAATTCAAAGATCTCTTCAATAAAGGTAATTTTTCACTTATTTTCTCTCAGTGTACCTTTATGTTTTGGTGAAGTTTTCTTCTTGCAGCTGTAAAAGAAATAAAGAGGTAAGGGACAAAATCTTTAAAAATATATAAAATGTCATACCTTTCAGAAAATGTTACCTACCAAACTCTTGACAACAAACCAGGATGACGGAAACACTTGTACAAGAAGTAAATCAACAGAGCCACCATCAAAGCTGCCAGAAGTACTGTGGGTATGAACCAAGCCAGGTTTTCTGGGTTGTCAAAGAATCCGCCCGTGGAGCTACTTGATCCCCCGGAACTAGGTGGCGCAGTCGTAGTGGTGGTGGTAGTGGTTGTTGTAGAAGTGGTGGTAGTCGGGTCTATAACATGCAGACTTATTAAAAGATGTCACATAATAGAGGCACCTTGGCAAGGATACATTGACGTGGTATGTTCTACTTTCGATTGAAACTTGGATAAAAATTGCAATGAATCTCAAAACCAAAGATTTTCATCTACCTACGATATCTTCCAAAATTAACAGAAAAATAACTAAATAAATCGCAGCAACATCTAAGAAAATACCTGTGATTACAATAGTAACTGGAGCAGTATCTTGTAATCCGTCTGCGTTAGCTGCAGTTAAAGTTAGGTCATATTTGGTGCCCACGGGTACATCACACAAATCTTGAGCAACATGAATTGTACCATCATTCCCTACCAAAAACCCCGCCCCTGAAGTGAGAGTAAAGGTCACGTCCTTGTGCTCCTGTTTAATGTCCTTGTCAGTGGCAGTTACTTGGCCTGCCGAGGACCCGACTGATGCGCACTGTGAAACGAAGAAAGAGTAGCTCCCTTTGTCTAGAACAGGTGCGTTATCATTTATCTCATTTATTGTGATGGAGAGTTGAGTCGATATAGTATGTCCGCCTTTGTCCGTTGCCGTGACTGTGCATGTCACTACTTCCTGTTCCTTCCCAACAGAATCAAGGTCGTATTCTACAGACTGGGTTATAGAACCTTTTTAAAATAAAAAATCAAAAGGAATGATTTCAATATTGTTGCTGAATAAAGAACCTCAATGTTTATATATGAATAAAATTTTAGCAGTTTCTAACTTTCTACACGAAATTGACAATATGCACCTGTATTTGGATCCATACGAAATTTTCCTTGGTTGGTGCCACAGTCCATGGTAAAAGTTTGAACATCATTGAAATCAGGATCTATAACTTGCGTACCCGTAAAGGGATTGGTCAACACGTCTCCTGACTGAAGTATATTATTTCATTCAAAAGTATTTTAAACAAAGTTTTGCAACTCAAGCTACATATACTAGTCTGTAGACACAACCACACTGTAAAAATCTTTAAATGGTTTAATGTTTTTATTCTTAAATCTTTTTTACGGAGTTATATGACTAAAACATTAAATTGTTTCTAATTACACGGATAAAAGATCCTAAAGTCTTCTGTAAGAAGATTCATTTCGTCATTAATTCTTATAAAGAGCTCTATAAAATAAGATTTACCTTTCCTTCTCCTGTTTCTATGGCATATACCGATTTAACAAACCCTGTCTGTTGTTCATTTACATCAGTAACAAGTATCGTCATTGTTTGGGGGATAGAACTCTCCCTGCCGTCGTTTGCAGTTACTGTGACGTCATACGTTAGTTGATTAAGTGTTCGAAGACTTTCATAGTCAATATTGTCTTTTACAGAAATCACACCAGCTACAAAATGAATACAATATGTTTTACATATCTCATTGTTATGATGATGGTGGTTAAATGCATATATTTATTTTATGAACCAGACACACCTTCATCGCCATGAGTATAAAATGAGATAGAAGTGAGTTTGATCTCTTCCTTATAGAATCAAATTCGCAAAAAATACTAAGGTAAGTATTTTTTTGGAGGGAAAATATTACGTCACTATTATAGCATATTTTTAGTTGA